CCAGCCTTTTGGGGCAGTACAGAGAGAGGGGCCTGCCCATGGGGAAAGCAACCACGGCCCAGCTGATTGCCCCGCTGGAAGAGAATGACCTGTCCAGGGGCCTGGATCCTGCCCCAGCGGGGAGCAGCCAGACCCCCCTGGGAGCGTCTCAGGCTCTCAGACGGGAGGGGGGGCTGGAGCCCGCCAGACAGACGCGGTGCCCACCAGGCCACGTCCCACCAGCAGCGGCTCGTCCAGGGCAGGGTCCACCCTGGCAGAGCTGCGATGGCTGGAGATCGAGCTGCGGCTAAAGGAATTGCAGTCACAAGAAAAGGAGCAGCAAGACAGTAGGGAGGAGCGCCAGGACCGAGAGAGGCAGGGGGAGCGCCACCACCATCGAGCTGGGGCTGAAGGAACTGGAGGCAGGGCCGGGAGAGGCAGCGGCAGCATGAGCTGGCCATGGCGGAGCGGAGACGCCGAGGGGCCCCGGCTGCGGTGAGCAGGGAGGGGCCCAGGGGGTCCGGGGCGGCCAGACGCTTGGAGCAGCTCGTGTTGGCCCAGTGTAAGGACGTGGGGGACGTGGACGGTCCCTGAACTCCTTCGAGCAGGCCTGTGAACTGCACCATCCCCCCGCGGACCGGCTCCAGCCGCTCCCCCCTTGCTGGGTCAGGAGGCCGCAGGGGGCTCAGCCAGCTGGAGGATCTGCCGCCGGGCGCCTACGAACGGGTCAAGGAGGCCCTGCGGCACAAGTCCGGGCTGACCCCCGAGACGTACAGGAGGAAGTGCTGGGGGGCAGAAGGAGCCGGGGGAGATCTATGTGGATCTGGCTCCCGCCTGGCGCAATCCTGCCGCGAGTGGGTGTGCGGGGCCGGGGCCCAGACCGCAAGGGACCTGCTTAAGCTGCTGATGCTGGAGCAGTTCTATGGAGCGTGCCCGCCCAGCCTGAGGCTGGGGCTCCAGCACCGCTGGCGGCCGAGTTCACGGAGAGCCGGTCCGGGTGTGAACGGGAGTCCCGGAGAGAGGGAATCGCGCAGAGACCGGATCTCGGCTGAGCGACGGAGGGAGGCACCTACGGGGCGAGCCCAAGACACAGGGACCAGCCAACCACCCCCCAGAGACACAGGCAGGGCCTGGACGGAGCCGGCCCGAAGGGGCCCGCAGGACCTAACCTGCCATCGCTGCGGGCAAAGGGGCCACGAGAGGCTCAGTGCACCAGGCACCAGGCCAGGTCCCACGACCCGAGACGTTCCAGGGTACCTGGCTGGGGCTGGGGGAAGGGCAGACTGCCCTGGGGCAGGGGCCGGCGGGCAAACCTCAGCTCAGAGCCGGGGGAAGGCTGCTCAGGCCGACCCCTCCCAGAGACCTGATGCTCCGGAGGCAGGTCTCTCCGTGTACCGGGTGGGGGCAGGGCGGCCCTGCGGAGCGAGAGCCTCGTGCCCCTGCAGGTGGGTGGCAGGGCGGTGACGGGTTTCTGGGACACGGGGGCGGAGGTGACGCTGGCCCTGCCCGAGGTCGTACCCCAGACCACATGGTGCCCAACACTCAGCTGACCCTGAAGGGCATAGACGGGACCCGTTTAAGGTGCCTGTAGCCCGGGTGCATCTGAAATGGGGGCCAAGGAGGCCCCAAGGAAGTGGGGGTCACCGGCACTTGCCCACGGAGGTGCTGATGGGGGGTGACCTAGAGCAGTGGCCAGACGGACCCCACAGGGCCCTGGTGACCACCCGTAGCCAGAGCCAGAGAGGGGTTCCATCCCAGCAGACACGGAACCCGGCTGGCTTGGGACTCCGGACCTAGGCAAAGTTGGGGAACAGGTCCTTGTCCCTTCCCCAGCAGCTGAATTCCAGGCTGAGGTGCAGGCAGACCCCTCCTTGCAGAGGCTGAGGGACCAGGCTGGCCTCCGTGCAGCTCAGCCGCGGGGGAGAGGTGGCCAGGAGAGATTCCTGCGGGAGCGTGGACTCCTGTTCCGTGAATGGCTTCCCCCCAGGAAGGCGAGGGCATGGGGGGTCCAGCGGCAGCTGGTCGTCCCCCGAAAGTATCGCCTCAAGCTGCTGTATTTGGCCCACGACGTCCCCGTTGGGGGCC